CGTTCATTACTCCACAAAACAGATCACTAGTTGGATCTCTATACGATTGAACCCTAATTTGCTTGGACAGGGTTACAAAGCTGTCGTTGGCAAGAACCGAGACGACTTCGAATAATGACTGCACCACCAATACATCGTCAGTTAAACAACAATGAATGATCTTCTCAGCATATTTACGAGTAATACGCAAACACATCAAAATACCTTCACTTTCCCGCTGTCCAAAGCTAATTTAAAGTGTCATATTGTCACAATGTATTGTCACAATCGCTGTATTGCCCCAATCACAAATTTAAGCATAATTTATCAGATACAGAATTTATTCGTGACATTATTAAACAAATAAGTAAATGCTGTAACACCGGACCAACTACATAAGGCGCATTTCATAAATAACATATTAATAATCTAGGAGATTTGTGTTGTAGTCAACAGGATATTCATAAGCATATCGCAATATGGATGAATTTTCAGAAAACATCAGGTGCATACAATAAAAACACCAAAACAATGAAAATCGTCAAGATTTTTTGAAAAGAACACCACAGAATCTGTCTTATGGGTCAACATGGAGAATTCTGCAGACGAATTCAATTGAAAAGATGGCACAGTAAAAGAGATCAATGAGAATACAAACGATACAAGAAAGTAAGCTCATTTAACGTTTGTTGGCAGTTCCAGAATGAGAATTAATTTTATAAATTGAATGTTATTAAATTACAAATTTACTGCCATCGCGTGATCCTATACAAGCAGTTCATGAGAACAATAAAGCAGCAAATTCGACAACACTTTTTGAGATTGCTTGAGTAACGAGTTTTGTGTTTTTAATGCTAAAGCAAACAACATTCGACGTTTTTCAAGAAATTATATTTGCTGCACAATATCACCTAAGTGAACTGATCTTATTCATTCGAAAAATTCTTTTTTCATCATCCAAATCAACATTTCATCGGTGAAAAGAATAATAAACGATTCAATCTGCAAGAGAATTTCATTTGCGTCATCACTCGAAGGCTTGCGACACGTTCGGCTGTCGCATTACCGTTTGCTCACGAAAACGCTGATGAATCATGTGGTTGCACGTTGGACGATTTTTGGGCTTTGCATAAACTTGGGATTCGTCGCTATTCCACTTCGACGTGTCAAAGACTTTGTTCGGTGATCGGACGGACTGTTTGGCAATGACCCGAAACCCGAACTATCCGCAGATCCTGAAGCACTCTTGAGGATTTGCCTGAAAACAAGTTAACAATTCAACCAAGAACGCCTACACTAACACCGGAATGTTTTAAGGGAAATTCATAGAGCTGACATCAATGTATGTTTTTGGCGAAGAAAGTACTATGGTTACCGTTGGACCAATTCATAATGAGGTGATCTGCTTACCTGATGTGTTCATGGCCTGCAAGCTGAGCGACATCAGCTGCATTACGACCGAGATTATCACACAGTGATGATTCAGCACCAAATTTCAACAATAAAACCACTAAATCGCGATGACCTATTTGGGCAGCGATATTCAATGCTGTTGCACCCTTAAAAATAAATCACATTTCGTTCATGATTTCTTTAGAGGGAGGGGGATATTCTGATTTTACTCTTTTTGACATGGAGATCAGCAAATTACATCAAGAATTCACCTGAAAATCCACTGCGTTCGGAGACACACCAACACTTTCGAGCATATAATGTGCAATCTCATAATTCGAGGCCCAAACGGCCGTCATCAATGGCGTACGACCAGCCTCGTCGCGCGTCTCGAAATTCGCACCATACTCCTTTATCAACTCTGCCATTTTCACATCGTTAATCTGCAAAGTTTGATTTAGTATGAAACAAAAGCGTTAATGGATTCTAGCGAATAAGATATAATATTGTTTTTTTTTCTGGCGCTTCCAGGTGAGGATGGTACGGACTTAGCTCGAAATGCTGCAATGGTTGATAATAGTATCGCTTTTCGAGTTGGGAAACGGCAAACTTTTTCGGTGGCCAGCAATAAGGCAAACTTGGAGAGTTGCTTGGCATGCATAGAAAAGCGATTGGTTTCGGTATTGCTGCTTAGCTCCGAAAATCAGTCTTCAGCAGTCACGAAATTCGAACGTCACCGAGCTTTAGCAGCTACCGATGCATTAGCGAACACTTAACAATGGCTAGTTGGTCAATGACCGCCGACGAATGTGCGATTCCATGGACACCGGCCCTCAGACCACATGATGGCCACCGAATAGCCTTTCTGACCCTCGGTCGGTGGCATCCACCTAACTCCAATAACTACCACAAGTAGTTTGCATGGTTAATTCTTTATTGTGGTTCTTTTTGAAGCTTTCCATATTTTAAAGCGTTCGCGCAATGAGTTATTTCCATATGTGAGCAGTGCCAATGATGTTTCGGTTAAAGTAGATGTTGTTTTGAAGAAGCAAGCTTCGTGTCAGAGTTATCATTATGATTTGAAAGTGAAAGTGAATGAATTTGAATGTCGTCTACCTGTGCAACAACATGTGCACACGTCCTTGCATACGCATCACGCACAGCCGTTGATGTGCCCAACGAGAGCAGAACACAACACATCGCAGTATCACGCGCAATCATTACCGTATGCAACAGAGGAGTACTCTCCAAATCAGGTTCAATCAGTTCATTCGCGTCACTCTCGTCTTTCAGCATATATTCCACCAAACAACGAACAACACCTTCGTTATGCGCCAGTGCAGCTATCCGTAATGCTGATTGACCTTCATGAGATTGCAGATGAATCGGTGCACCAAGATTGAGCAGTTCCTCAACCACCTGAAATTGTTGCTACAATCGAGTAAACTGGCCAATAGCTAAAAGGATGATCCTCAGTTAAAATACATACGACAATGATGTTACATTTTAGTGACAAGGTCAACTAATTCGTTAGTGTAACTGATCAGTACAATATCACAAATTACAAGGACAAAAAGAAGAGTGGATTAATTATTCACAAAAACGAAAAGTTCGTGGGTTAATATAACCTCAACGTATGGATGCTGGGCAGCAATCAGCAACGGATGATTCCCATGGCAATCTGTAGCGATCACTGTTGTTGGTGTGCACAGAATACTCACGAGTTCTTTACTTGAATGCATCGATGCATAATGCAATGCCACTGCGCCGTCGTTATCCTACAACTTGCACTTCACAACAATCCAAACAACAATTCAAACTTCTTCGTTGAATTCGCATAATTTTGCTACGTTCATAAGAAAAATGATCACTTTTTGCGATAAAAGCTACAACTCGCCAAATTTTTGCAGTAATTGGCTAGAGCTGAATTATTCTTATGATAAACGTTGAAGAACAAGCTTCGAAATTTGGAACACACTCATCCTGGCAAGCAGTTTGTCATCACAGAAATCTTCACATAAGATGAAATTTGACTGATTTCAATGCTGTGAAAATCATTTGGAAAATGATTGGCAATCACTGACGCATTTGAGTGGAAGCAACACCGAATGGATTTTCATTCTCGATGAAAAACAAGCTTTTGAAATGAAAGCGGATCAAAATGTTCACTCACAGTCTGCGCCAATCAGGTGAACGCACTTATTCGACATTTAGCTAAGGAATTTTTACCAAAAAGACCAACAAAGCTCCACTGTAGTGGTAAGCAAATAGAGTGAATAAAAGTTCAGTTGAATTTGCTACATGAAAGAGAACGAAATACGTTAGAAATTCCGATCAGAATTTCAGTCATATTTCAGCTTCAACGGCTGAATCTTCAATTTTCTGCCCCTTCCCCATTCTACCTAAAATTTTTGTCATTTTCCCACCCTCACTCACTGATGGATGTGAAAGCACTCATTATATAGCAGAATCAGCATTCGTGCTTACAACTTCTAATGAGCAAATTAGTCCACAGAAATGGTTAATTAATGAGCGTAAATATTTCTTCTCTCTCGAAGATTACGAAGGTAAAGGTATTCGACGGTAATGGAACAATTTTAAAGGCTTTGCACAAAGCGCACCCATACACGAGAAATAAATTCATATGAAGAGAGGAATGCTAACTGACGGGGGAATTTTGACACGCCTGAATATTCAACTTAAAATTTCTTATAAATTCTAGGGAATGCGGTAAATTGTCCCCGAACGCCCTCTAATCTATGTTATTTAATAGTTTATGCGTTATAGAGCGATAAGATTCACGTTATGTTTGCTTAGAAATAGACGAGTGACCCACTGTGAAGTTCAAGTAGAGGAGAGGCTATTTTGCACACGAATAATAGACTAGTGTTAAGTCAACAGAAATTAGATCAACAAAACAGTATAATGGATGGAACGTTAATGAATAACGGTGATCAAACATAAAATCAATCAAGTTCTGTTTGGACAGTTGCGATGTCAGGTGAGTTCACCTTTCACCTGAACAGTCAATAATGCCTCAGTTGCCATATCAAAGTGTACCAAAATAAATTTTCAATCAGCATTTCAATCAACATCTGATCACTGAGTGGACCTGCGAGGATGTTTGCATCGATTTTCTTGCAATGTTCTAAGGCTATGGCACATCTTAAAATTCGATTATCACTTTTACAATTAGCAAAGAATTACCGAAACAGTTGTAGAGTTAAACGCTCCACCAACCTTATGAGCTTCATCCGCTCCCAAGCTAATAAACATCTTGCAAATATCTGTGTTTGCATGCATAGCCGCGAGAATCAATGCTGTTCGACCGTTGTTATCAATACAGTCGATATCAGCACCATTTTCAATGAGTTTCTGGCATGCCAACATTTTGCCTTGGCATGATGCTAGCATCAACGCTGTTCGACCGCACTGATCCTAGAAAATGTATGAGCATCATTCAAATGAGCTAACTTTCGTAAGGTATTTCACCTAATCATAAAAGATCAGTAGATGAGCCAATGCTCAAACGATCGCTATCAATGAAACCATAGCATGAAGCATTTTAGCGACATCATTTATGCAGCATAAAGTGTTAAAAATTAAGTGTTCTTGTCAGTCAGCTTATATCTATTTGATCTCATGAAATTCACAAGTTGAACGGGTAATTAGATGGTACTTACCTGTGTGTCGATATTTTTGCACCGTTGAATCATTATTTCTAAATTGCTGTCACCATGATATGCGGCCAAATGGATACAGTTACGTCCATTCATATCTTCAATGTCCACATCAGATCCTCCTGAAAGTAACAAGTTAACGCTTATTTGACTATTTTTGATGAGAGTATTGCAGAATACGATGCATTCGCGAAGTGATTTTTATATTAAAACTATCCTTCCGCAACGTAAACAGTTCTCAATATCCTCATGCACTCTTCATAATTATCAAAAGTAGTGTGAATATTGAAAATAACTGAAATGACTCAGAATTGAGACTACAGATCTGATGTTATGGACAAATTAATTTGGTTCAGTGATAACATCAAAAGGCTTTTTGTGAAACAGGATGATGATGAAAATGAACTCGAACAACTGACCATTTATAAGCTCCACAACGGTTTGATGGTGCTCCTCTGAATGAGCGCAATTGGCCAATGTTAAATGCAAGGCAGTTGCTCCAGATGAATCCACCAACTGAAAAGTCCTTCAAGAATTACTTTCGATTCGTCAAACTTGTCTTTCACTCATTTAGTAATCGCTTTGTTAAGCCAAAGTAATAAACAAAAAAACAAAAGAATATGGAATTTTAAATTAAAAAGCAAAAAACGATAAATTCTTCTCACATTTGGATTCGCTCCATACTTCAGTAACAAAGAAACAATATTTGAATGATCCATAAATGCGGCAGCCATCAGAGCCGTACGACCTTCAGCGTCCTTCCTATCAACATCGGCTTTCGCTTGCAGGAGACGCTCAACTATTACCTCATGCCCACTCCTCAAACAGAATAAACTTTCATTTGAATGCGTTCAAATTTTAAAAGAATCCAATGTAATAACATACAATTGTACTCTCAAATTCCCCTACAGAATCTTTTGAATTGCGTTAAAATCATGTATGAACGATCAGGAGCAGTCAAATTTTCAGCCATAATATACGCAAACTTCCAAGATTTTAGAGAATTTTTAATACCCTAATCTTTGTTTTCAAGTAAAAGAATCCCTGGAACTTACGCGATGATATAAAAGCCGCAAGAATCTTTACGGACTAATATAGACAATATGAAAGATATACCAGCAAAAAAAGAAATCTTATTCTGCATGTATTGATTTTTTGGTAAGGAGAACAAAAATACTTTCGAAATTTGATGGACATTCAAGTGTCCTTCTCGTGATTATAGTATATTAGTAGAATGCTCTAATAATTATAATTAGCATGTTCGATTGAGGAGAAAAGACGCATCAGTGATCATCATCATTAAAGAGTGTGCTTTTGCTTTCCTGTGCTTCCTCTGTTTGCTTTCCATGTCCCTTCCCTTGCTTCCGTCCGCACTTCCAATAACATATCCTCATGCTACATCAATTAGTACCCCACTTGTATTCCCTTTTAATCCCTTTCATATTCTCTATATTACTGCCGTTCATACTTCCTGCTTCCAATCTCAATTCAGCAAGCAAATTCGCTTAACGCAGTACACACAAAATTTAGCGTGACTTATCATCAATTTAGCACCAACGGTTCTCAATATCTTTATGCGCTCTTCATACTTATCCATTGAATCCCAACAAATAATGGCAATACTGATAATTTTCATGACAACAGCTTAATTAATAAGGCAAATTGAATAACTGCTACGGTTAACTCATTTGAACGGTGGTGATTCAATGATATCACTCCATAGTACATAACAGCAATAGATCCAATTAAAACTAGTGAGTAGATTATATCAGCATTTGGTTTACGGTCATCACTGAATCTCAATGAATTGTGAAACTGAAGTTTGAATGAGTGAAGTTCTAGAGCCACAGAAACTGCTCAAAGATTTCGAATACGACTATCTGATGCTAAACTATACACAGCGCACTTCACCCGTCCCCAACATTTCTGAAAAGGGCCGCATTTTCGAGACCCCAACTTTCCTCGTTCCCGATTCTTATTCCTTCCCAGCAACGCACTAAAGTCGAATAACTATTCTCTAATTCTGTTTCATTATAAAGTTGCATAACATTTTAACGTTCTGTGATAAATTTGGTATATTTAAATGAGCATCAAATTACCAGGCAGCTGCTCGAAGTGCTGTTCGACCACCGTTACCACATTCATCAACATCAATCCCTGAACATCTATCAGATAGAATGAATAAAACTCATATTTTCAGTGGTTATATAATAACAGTGATACGTTTGAGGACAATCGATGAAAACGGTGATTTATATCATAGTATTGGATCGAATGTCGCCTATTATATGAATGAAAATATCGAATGTTATTTATCTAAGGCGAGCACAAATATGGAAATTCTATACTGTCATCTTATTGTCCCCTCTGACTCGATAAGACAATATGAGAAGCTATGCAAAGCGAATTCGTATTTCGTGCAAGAACCGGTAATTGTTTCATATGATGAAATATGCGCATATGCATAATTGAGTGCCATTCAGCAGCACTTAACAAGCTTGAAGGCAATTTAGGTAGGCTTTGAATGGGATGAATTGCCGGATAAGTGCACGCATTAATCAACGAATTATGTTATGAATATCATCATTAACACTAAAACAACTCCATAACCGCTATTGTCTGAAACGCATTAAAGAGGAGAGTACTTCATATCTGCACAAGAACTCAAAATCTAACGATTTCGATACCATATGTTTAGCATTTTTATGGCTTTGTGACATACGGCAATTGCTTTCACTTGAAGTAATTATTACAGCTCTCTCCATATCTATTATGGACAACCAATGAAAAAATAATTTTTCATTGCGAGCATCTTTTGTTCATAGCAGGAAACGAACAGGTTTTTAGGAAATCAGTTAGAGTCAACTGATTTGAACGCAGAAATTGCATTCAAGGAATCGCTTGTTACATACAAAAAAAGCGTCTTCTACGACGCCTGGAAGGTATCATCGGAGTTTGGATTATCTTGTGAGCATGACAACTGCAAAAACGAACCGTATTCTATGAGCATATTCAAAACGGCTATGTGGTTATTACAAGCCGCAGCACGCAAAACATTCCACTGTTGAAAATCAACGTAATGGGCCGCTGATGATTTCTTATTGAGTATTGTGCGGCATACGTCCAACTGACCACCACTTGCTGCTGCTATTAAACCGGACGCTAAAGACGACTCTTCGACGTTGTTGAGAAGATCATCGACAACATCCAACTCGCCCGACGAACATGCGAATACGAAATCTGGCTGAAATTTTTAGTAGCCTCTGCATTTTGTTTTTCATTAGTTGAATTTTTGATGATATTCAATATGCAATTCATATTGATAATGAACTTCCTCTGTAGTTTAATGTCTACAGTAAGTGATCAGTTTATATCGCTGTTGAAATACTGACTGAATTCTTTTCGAACCAGTGCAACATCTAAGAACATAACCTGATTACGGTAGGATAACTTTTGGCAGGAATGATCACAGAAAAGCATTTTGAAACATCAGTGTGTTTCATGACTATGCTCAAAATGCGAATCAATTTCGCAACTCCTCAGTAACACTTCACAACTATAAATCAAAGAATTGAACAAACGATCAGTGGATAACAGTCTGAAATGTTTTTGACGCATCTAATAATGAAATCGTCTTCTAACGTAATTATAGAATGCTCTATATTGTATTGCGATTAACGCTTGTTGAGTTTAGTGCATTAATTTCGATGAATAAACAACGTCGATCATTTCAAATAATTTACATTCACAGACAAGAGTGATGACAGATGAATGAGTTATGGTTGGCCGAGGAAAGCAGAGTTGAAGAGGGTTTTAAGTGGAGAGTGTTGGCTGGATGCTGCTTATTGTTAATGGAAACGGCTTTGAGGAGTGCGTTTCGTTTAGCTGTTAGTAATTTGTCATTTGGGAACATATCAGCGATACGATTCGCTCTTGACAATGTTTAATGCAAATTTGCTCACTTAAGACTTATTCGCTGATCGCATTTGAAACCAATATCAATTGACGACAGTTCCATATATTATAAAGCTTATTCTTTCAATGGACACGTTTCGGATCAAGATGTCATGACGATGAAAATAACGAACATAAAGTGGAATGAGAAAAATGTTCGTATCAAGTTTTTGCTGATTTTGATGAAGGAGAGTAATTTAGTTGACTCTGGGGATGGAATGCAATGCATCATGAGACGAGTACATTTTTCATCTCGTAAGTGCAATTTAATGAAGCGAGTGCTAGACATAAACTCATTACGCTTGTTCATTTTGAATTGAATTTATTGCATCTCGCAAACATATAATAATAAAACAATGCAATAAATACCCCTGACGAATTCAGTTAGTTGGCGACAGAAATAAATACGTTAAAATATCAGTTTTAGAACATATCAACTCAGACGTTATGGGATCTTTTTCAAACGACTTGTTCAGAAAATTTCATTATGCAACGCCGTGTTGCGTTTTAATGCGGTATGTGGCTTGCGCAGTTGTATGATTGTTTGCTGAATAACAGATCGAGAGACAAATCTAATAAGAGCAAGAGTCGGAAAGAAAATTAAATTTCCAACTGTCATCATCCAATTTCGTATGACCAATGAATACATTTCATTGAGTTTCTGAATACGATTTTCTCTTAATGAAAACAAATCAAATTTGCACTAATGTGAGTCACAACGCGTACTTTTATGTACGAGCAACAAATTTCAATTAAACTGCTAAATAGCTACGATTTAAGAAATTTCGTCGCGATGAATACAAATTATCTCTCAAATAATACATGACAACGAAAGATACGAAATCTTATTTTGAAAGTCCTTTCAATCATCTCAACTCACATGCTCGGTTGTTTACGAATGTTGAAATGCATTTCTCATCATCAAATTTGCCTTAATGACACAACATGCAAGTTTTAGCATATTGTTCGTGCAACTCAAAATTGGTGGAGCTAAACGACGACAAAGCTAACGAGTTTTATGAAAGCCATGCAAGACTTTTCGACTTCTTTGAATATAAAAGATATAAGTGATTAAATCACGAGACAGAATGAATCTCAATTCTCGAGTATTGTTAATAAGGTTAAGTAAAATGCTTTTAATATATACACTTCACGCATATCCTTCCTTCAAGCGTTACATTCGCCATTATCAACTTGTATTTTCATCTCAAAACCGCAAGGATGCAATGAAAGCATAGTCGCAGTTAATAACCCTACAAGGTAGTGCACTATTTCCAGCGAATCAGCCATTTTATAAACCATTTTCAATGAACTATTCTGTTACATTTGCAAAAATCGGTTATCGATCGGATGATAACAATTTGATGGCATAAAACCTAGATTGAGAACCATTCATATTATAAATCAACACTGACAGGCTTCGGTATGAGGTGAAACGATTTCGAAAATCACATCAAATAACGATATATTCAATTTATTTCAACTCTCTCGCCATGCTTCCTTTTATGGCTTTAAGCCTTTGATTCAATTTCTCAGTCTTAACTTTCTTTCAGTTCACAATGAGCTTCATTCACAACAATCCATTCAGCATGACAAACCACCAACACAACTCACAGATAATATCTTAGAAATGCTTCTCAGAAACCCTTTATGCATGTGCATTGAAGATGTAAATCAAATCATTTATTGCCAATAATTCCACAGAATCTATTAGTAATTCCATTGAATTGTTAAGAAGCATTAGCACTGGTGAATAATTACGTATTGACTCGCTTGCTAAAGCACAACATTAACTAAATGCTAGCATAATTCGACTGAGCAACGAATTTCTGCGAATAAACCTTTGACTCAACAGAAGCAGATAACTGTGGAATCGAAATGCGAATAAGC